ATGCATTAGAATTATTCATAAGTTCACGGTGTGCGACCTGTAACTTCTGGGATTTGTTTTCACATTTCTAAACCAATTTAGGGTTGTATTCAGGTGATGTCTGGCTCACAGTAGACCCATTGAAATATACGAACCTAAGTTAGTAATGTCCATGAATTTCAAAGGGTTTAGTCTGAGTAGGAGCAGGACCAAATATCACTATGTGCACATATGACTGCTATACATCCTCACGTTGAAGTACTTCAACACAAACTTCATCCTTGTTTTAAAATATTGCACTACACTGCTCTGCTACAAAGTACTCAGAACCACAGAATCATGGGATTGTAGAGTTGAAAGGACCCTGAGGAACAACTAGTCCAACTTCCTGCAATGCAGGAATATTGTCATTTTAAAAATATATAGATATATATTGAGTTGATACTCTGTGCTCAGATTCAGGTAAAAATATGGTGACATTAATTTATTTATAAGCAGGTTCCGGTGGAGTTAATGAAATTGGAAGGTTGTGCATTGCAGAATGGGAAGCCACGGACTTGCATTACCAAAGAGCGAGCAGACCTATCTCTAGCATCTCTGCTTAGCCCTCAGGTAAGTTGAAATGGCCATTTCCTTTGCCTTCCTTTGTAAGTCTCATAGAGGAAAAGGCTGTCATTGCCTTCTAGCCATGATAACTATGCTTTGTCTCCACAGCTGGAGCCAGTACAGTGGATGCTTGGGTTGCGAACGTGATCTGTGCGGGAGGCACGTTCGCAACCCGCAGCGTTTGCAACCCGCAGTGCCGTGTCTGCGTACGCACGGGTTGCGATTCGGCGTTTGATGCGCAAAGCGTGATTTAGCGCTTCTGCACATACATGACCACCGAAACCCAGAAGTAACCCTTTCTGGTACGTCTGGGTTTCGGCGGGTCTGTAACCCGAAAAAACGCAACCTGAAGCATCTGTAACCCGAGGCATGACTGTACAGTAATGCTTCTGAGCACCAGTTGCTGGAAACCACAGGTGGGAAAGAGTGCTCTTGTACTTGGATCCTGCTTGCACATTTTTTCACGGGCATCTTGTTGGCCACTGTGAGAATGTGATGCTGGACTAGATGGGCTGTTGGCCTGCTACAGCATGCTCTTCTTATAATTACACTTTATTCGCATTAATGTCCTTTAAAAGACCATTGCTGGGGGGAGGTGGGATTCTAATGTTCCCCATGCACAAGACAATCCATTTTATTCAACAAAAAGTGTCTGGTAAGTCTCGCGAGACTGCTTTGAGATTCTGAACCAACAATCTAGTGAATGACCCTTGTGGAACTCTTAAGCAAGACTGCTGCTTGCAGAATGATGATCAAATCGGCTTGCTTTAGCCTGCTTAGAAGAACTTCTGTGATCAGACTCTAAACAGTAGTAAGAACAGAAGAAACAAATGAAAATTGCACAGGACAGTCCTCTTTTTTCCTGATAATCTTGAACATTAATGCTTCCATGTTCTGTGTTTTAAAAGGCTGTTGGATGTTAGCTTTCACTTTCTGTTACATACTGGGTACATTCCTCTTTCCCTTCGTTTTATACCATCCAATTGAGGACAAGGTATAAATTATGTATCATAAAGTGTTGTGTAATTGATCTTATACCCTACATTTGTTCAAAATTTGTTGTGTCTAGGTTCTTGCCTAAATTCTTGAGATACATATTTGTATATTCTTTCAGCCTTCACTCAAAAGCAAGCCTACCTGTAAGATAACCAGCAGCCAAGATCCAGCACACAGTGGCACCTGCCAGCTTGGGTGTGTCTGTGCTAGTTTAGCTTCTGGGATGTGCCAGCCTGCACCTTCCTGCAAGACAGATTGCACATTTGATTGTCTGAAGAAAAGGGTGGCCCTGTTAAAGGGAGTTTCTGTGCACAAGAAAAGCTTGAAGAAATATTTATGTGAAATTATTGAATGCTGCAACGGAAAAAGGGATTGGAAACTGGATCATGTTAATAAACAGATGAGAAGCAATGATGAATGTAAGTCTTACTAGAAAAGTGTTCGAAACATTTTCAAAACCTTTTTTTCTGAGAGTTTGGGGAATAAACATTCTGGACTATCCAGGTGTGTTAAATCTTGACTTACTGTTATCAAATATAAATGGAAACTGCAACAAAATGTTGCCATGGTTTCTCTGGTAAAACATCTGATTATTTCTTTTGACCCCCCCCCCCTTTTATGTGCCTTTCTCTTCCCGTCACACCCTGTGTGTTTGTGTGCTTTGTTGCTGGTTGGTTTTTTTTTTACCCTGTGTGTGTGTGTGTGTGTGTGTGTACTATCTTAGGTTGGGGATAAATAAGCTGCTTTTGGAGCACTCACACATTCATTCTAAGTCATGGTTTGATTTACCATGATGTGTGAACCAGGCTGGTGTGGTGACCTGACGTTATTTCAGTGATATGGTTCCATTTCTGTTTTATTTGTGCATTCAGAATGTCCTTGCTAGGGGAGTCATGGATTTCTAAATGTCACTCGCTACGTCTTCTTTTTTTAGTCTTAGATGAGGGTGGAGGGACAGAGAAGGTGCCATGCCTGCCTTTTAAGTTTCTGTGATCAGCAGTGAATTAGAGCAGTGTTTCCCAACCTTGGGCCTCCAGCTGTTTTTGGACTACAACTCCCATCATCCCTAGCTAGCAAGACCAGTGGTCAGGGATGATGGGAATTGTAGTTCAAAAACAGCTGGAGGCCCAAGGTTGGGAAACACTGAATTAGAGGACTGTTCCTCCAACATCTGCCCTATTGGCACCCTTTAGTGCTGAACCCTTACACTCCTGGCTTCCTCCCGTGGGTGAGCACCCAGTCATCCTACAAATTTCATCCACTCTGCTCTCCCATCCATCTCTGTGGCATGGATTTCCCCTACCTTTTCTCTTGCTCCGTTTAGGATGCTTTTCACCACTGAGGGTACTGCCACTTATTGCATGTTTCAGTCTTTCCTCCCCTGTCTCCCACAGGATGCACGTACAATTGTCATGTTACTCTTTGTGGTGGGCTTATCCATTTTTTGGAAGTTTTATATATATATATATGCTGGACCTGCAACACAAGGGCCTATTTACAGTGCTATTTTTCTGAAAAAAGAGGCACCTGAACTCGCCATGAGCACCTCCCTTGTTCTCTTAGAATGGCAATGGCTAGAATGTATTAGGCTTGATTCGGTTTGCCTGCATTTTATGACTCCTACGCTGCATTCCTTTCCTATCTGACCCTGAAAGTGCCACAGATGGTCACTCAGGGTGTTTTGCTATGTCTGTTTTGAGTGAAATCCGGCATCTCCTTGAAAGTTTCCAAGGAACAGATAGGGACGGGAATGTCGAACAACCCTGTTGAAGGCCTGGTTGCTAAGGAAACAGCGATAAAGTAGGAAATGGCCTGAGCAGTTAGAGGCATCCCAAGGTAATTGAGTGGGTGATGGAGCCATGCGTGTTTTACTTCTCATGACCTTTCTTGATGTATGTAGAAGGATGTTTAAGAGTGTTTTGATATTTTATTCTTCTTCGTGTGCTGTACACATTCACAGTCCTTACGAAGGCTTCTTTAAAACACCTTTCATTTTTTTCCTTCAGTTTTTTTGGCATCTGCATACTTCAGGGAACCCCTAAGCACCCGGATCCCTCCCTTCCCTCATGGGCTACAAAACAAACACCACTCTTGACTGAGGATGGGTAATGGAATGATTTCAAAAAGAATGCCACTTTCAGTGTCTTCTTTGTTGCGCTAAATTTCAAAGCTCTTGCTTTCCCCCACTTTGATATCAATTGGAGTCTTGTGATGTGACCTTCGCTCCTACTTGTTGCTCCTTTCCCCGCTTTTGCCTAGTTTATTATTTACTAGAGGTAAAATGAACAGCACAGGATTTGTTTCAGTTCTTTCGCTGCTATTCCAGTGATTAGAGCATTAAAGCTGCTTGTTATCTTTCCTTCAGCAGTCTGTAGTGCAGAGCCAGACCAAGCTGTTACGGATTTGCCATTGCGGGTGAAGGAAGAAGGGGACATGTTTATTCCTGACAAAAGTGCAACTGCTACAAAGACTGCTCCAGATGACGTGGATGCAGGGGGAGAATTATTAAGTGGGGAACCTTTATTGCATCCTGACATTCCATCAGACGCCATATTGGCAGACCATTCATATGTTTGCAGGAAGCCAAGTAAGACAGTTAAAGTGACTGAGGGAAGTGAGAAGCAGCATGTGAGGTACCTTGAAGGTATGTCAGATGAGGCTGAAGATGGTTTGCAAACTGACGTTCCTGTGTGTGACACATTACAGAAAAGCCCCACACATCAGGAAGAGGCTCCGCATATGAAATGTTCAAATGGGGAGCAAACACACATTGCCCAAATGCAAAGGCCCATGACTGATTCGGAAGGACCTAAGCAGACACAGCCAACATTGTTTGGTAAACTGCAGCGGATTGTAAGCATGAGCCATACAGAAAAGCAGCAGCAGCAGCAGAAAAGGGCCAAATCTCTTCAGAGTCGGCAGCAAAATCAACATGACTTTGAACTGCTAAGGAGGCACTGGAAAGAGAGGGGTAACTCCATGCAAACAGAAAATGTCAAGGAAACAGAGAGAGGAGACCTTGAGATCTGCTGTACAAGGGACCAGAATTACACACCAGGAAAGACGTGTGTGGATAGTGCCCAAGAATATCTTCCTAACAGTAGTGCTAATGTTCAGGAGAACTGTAACATTTCTTGCTATAAAAAAGGTCTTTCTGGTTTACGGGGAGAGAATCAAGCTTTTAAGGATGACCTTGCTGAGCCCAACAGAACTTGGAGCAAATCATCCCAGAATCCAGTTGCTAAAAGCTTAGAAAAAAATGCTCCTAAAACCAACTATTGGAAAAATGGTCCTATGTCATTTGGTATCACCAAGGATGATATAGGAAATGGTGAAAAAACAGATGATTCTGCAGAGGAAGATATTGATGGGAGTTCTAACCACCAGATTGAAACACTGGTGAGCATCCCACACCCCTTAATTTGTAAAACAAATCTGGCAGCAAAATGTTTTTACTATAACACAATTTATTTGCGAACCATGGAAACCACTGTGACCAGTTGAGATTGCTGCTGTCACTTGCCTTGGATCTTTGGGTCCAAGGTGTGTGCGTAAATTTTCTACTGTTTGCCTTTCCTTTCCTTAACTTCTCTTTATACTAATTTCTCCAGTTTTACCATCCAAACTTAACTTCTCACAGAATTTGAACTTCTTGCAAAAATTCTGTTGTTGAGAATGTAACTTCCTCTGTGGTTAAAAAGTGTGTAAATATTTTCATGACTCAGTCAGAAATTGGAGTGTATGGAGTGTATGGCACAGATGAGTTTTGTTTTGCGGTATTAGGCTAACTACAGTAGTTCAGTTTCCAGAGCTGAAAAACGTTCCAAACTCCACTGTCCATCTTGTTGTATCCCTCCAGGTAAAGAATACCAATTGGCAAGGAGAGTGCAGTTCTGTCAAGCTGGAAGAAAAAATATCACATTTGAAAACGGTGGAGGCCAAAGAGTCAGAAATCACAATATACAATACCAAATTAAAAGAAAATAAGTTGCCAGCACATCCTTCAGAGTTCCATACTGAATGTATCATATGTGAGAGTAGTGCTACTACTTCAGAGATGGTCAAAAAGAATGCAGAAATTGTAGAGCAATTATCCAGTGATGCTCCCATCTTCCATCCTGATGCTGTATCGTTAGATCACACCTATAGCATTACAGCGATTTACAACAAGGAACATCATGTTAACTGTCCTGAAGAAGCTCCAGGTGATACTTCTCAATCGGTAAGACTCAATTTGTTACTTAATCTTCAGAACACCAAATTTAAATAATTATACATGTTAACAAGTTGTTGCAACTTTACATTAAAACAATGGTCTTTATTACCATTCTTCAGTTATACTCTGAGCAGCTGTAAACATTAATGTTTGAGCAATAGGCCACGTTCCATGTCACAATATACCATAGCCAATGGTTTCCCATGAACACACCTGTCTGTTATGGTTGCCTCCTTTCTGCTAGCACATGGAAGAAACACACCACATTCTGAGTTTGAAATGAAACATTACCTGACTGGAGCTTCTCTGCAGGACTAAGTTTAACTGCCTTTTTAATGTTCTGTTTCAGAATGGAAGGGACTCCAGTCAAGGTGACAAGAAAATGAACACTGAACCTGGAGAGTTTTCAAGGAAAAGTATTATTACTACAGCAGCTCATCCCCTACTTCCTAGACAGTTGTAAGCAAGTTTTTTTAAGCAACAACCACAACAAAGACACACCAGCAAATGGATTTTTAGCATAGTGCTATTTTTTATTATGTCTAGCAGATATAGTTCATTTTAATGCAGTCCAAGGCTCTGCTCTGTGGTTTATTTGGTTCACATAGTGAAACTTTGCAATGATGCATCACCCAGAAGCCCTTTTTAAAATATACTTAGCTCATAACCTTTAGGACAGGACTGGGGAACCATTTTGGCTGGAAAGGTGGCCTGCCCTCTGAACCACTTTTCAAGGATACGATGTAGAATGTCAAGCTTTGCAACCAGAGCTTAAATTCAGCCCTTTTTGACCCCTCTACAGAGCCCTTCCTCTTCCAACCCAGAGCAATCAAGCAGATAGCTGAAGGGCTGGATTCACTGATTGAGAAAAGAAATCTAATGTCTCATAAGAAACTGCAACTACACAGCAGACTGGGCACCTTGATTTGTAATGTGGGAATTCCTTCCTGCTATGGCTTTATACAAGGGTGGACACCCTTGTAGGCTAAATTTATTCTGTGGTAACTTGGCTTGATGGTAGACCACTTGCTTGGTATGAAAAAGATTTTTGACATCTCCACTTAAAAGAATCAAGAGATCAGAAAACCTCAGCCTGCGACCAGTCCTGGGCTAGATGGGCAAATAGCCTGATGTGCTGTTTCCTAATCACTAATGTTAGTACTGAAAGATTAAATTTTAAAAAATAAAAAATATTATCACCTTATTGGGGCTATATAGGACACCTTTAATTTGTATGTTAGTTCAAATTATATTTTTGAGAGTACTAAGAGCCCAAGATGTGCTGTTTCAGGCAACCTTTGGTTCATTCATTTGTTTACTTCAAGAGACTGAGTAGCATGCAGAGCAGAGTGAGAAAGCAAGAAGGGCACAGCAGAAGGAGGGGACAGAGCAGGGACATTTCCTGTGTGACCAGAGCACAACTTCCTGATCCTTTTGGCACAAAGAAAGTTTTCTTGCAGTTTTGGTTGAGGTTAAGCTATTATCTGAGCCAGATTGACTTGTGCAACTAAACACAACTTCTCTTTTTAAATCCTCCTAGGCATCTTACTCATGACTCTTCAAGTAAAGTGATGGAAAAGTCCCCTAAGGTGAATATACATTTCTTTTCTACTGTTGTGTCTTTGTGGTGTGTGTATTCCAGCTGAAATATACATTGACTGGTAGTGGGTTGTTGTTGTTGTTTTTAATTACTTAAGGGCATTGTTTGTTTTATGCGCGTGCCATGAGTCAGGATTAGTAGTCAGGCCCTTTTCATTCTCCCCATCCCCCTTGGTGACCCAAGTGAGAATCCTAGCTGTTGCGCAGTAGCCTGTGTGGCTCCTTTGTTTTCCAGTGTTGCACCTTCAAAACCAAACAGCTGTTTAGCTTATTCATGCATTCCCATCCAGCATCTGGCTAGCTTTGTGGTGACATGCAGAAGCCTAGGTTTGGGAGATAATATAAAATCCCAAGTATTTATACCAGTCACTGTATATTTTTTTCCTGTATGGTGAAAGTGCTGTTTCTTGTCCACAGCCGTCTGGACTCTGGAAAAGAGAACCAAAGAATTGGACACAAAGCATGACTTCTTATCGCCCAAAACACACAGCAGATGAACAGCGTCGGCGTAAGGAAATGCAAGAACTCTTTGAAAAACTGCAGGGAGCCTTGGGATTGCAGAGCACTCCCAGAATTGCCAAGCGCATCCTCCTCGAGCAGGTAGATGGTTCATCATTTAGCTGTATGTGGAAGGAAATGCCTCTTCATCAAGAGGAGAACTTGATTTTTAACAGCAGCAAGATGAAAAATCTTAAATTGAAAGATATAAAAAAGAGAGATACAAATGTGTGTGTGTTTTTTGGGGGGGGTGGTTCCAACGTGCCACAGCAACTCAGCTCCATGTTGGACAAATGCATCTGGCTTAATTTTCTTTCTCTGAGTACATTAGCCAATTAACTTGGCACATTGCCAAGATAATTATTTCCACCAATAGCATTTTTTGCCTTGTCTCCTCTGTCCCCAGCTGAAGCTTGCTATCCTAATATACACAAAGGCCCTAATATTTTTAATGCAGCTGATTCGCTAACATGTCTGCAAAGTTTCTGCCATTGCTTTGTTTTTAGGGTGCTTTGAGAGTAGAGTAGAGAAGCTGTTTCCCCCCCCTCTGTATTGCTCTGGAATGTAAAAATGACCTCTTTGTCCCTTTCCAGGCCACTGAAGATATCCAGAGGCTAAGAGATCAGGCAGACCAATTGACAAGCCACAAGAAGTTCCTGTTGTGCAAGCGCAACACCCTGATTCGTAAAGTGTCTACACTCTCAGGTGAGATGACTTCATGGACAGGTTTTCTTAAAAAATCAACAAAACCAAACATACATGTAGATGAAGAAATAAATTCCATCATAGGAGAATACTAGGATGATTCAAAGTGGTTGGGATGAATTGTTCATGTAGGATTCTAAGGATTATACTTTCAAAGACGCAAATGCTATTAAAGATGTTCTGCTTGCTAACTATATCCTTGCGTGCCATGTGTATTGGAAATTGTACTAATCTTGCACTCTGAAATACAGTATTTTGAGCTAATGTGTGTTTTTGTTCCTTTGAATTGCAAAGTGAGGGATATCCAACTCTTTGTTTTCTCTGTAGGCAAGTCACAGGAAGCGATCTTGAAGAAGCTAGAATACATTTTCACAAAGCAGAAGGCACTAGAAGAACAGGAGAACCAGAACCAGCAAGATATGGTGGAAATCATTAAAACAGCGAGAACTACTAGTTCCACTGTGGAAAACAGCCCCTTTTCTCTTTCTAGAGAGACAAAACCGGTAATCCTGTCCAACAGGCATATGAAACCATTGATATGTTCCAAGAACAGAAGCAGTGTCACAGGTAGGCTGCAGAAAGGAAGCGATTTTTATACAAAGTGAAACCAAAATCCCCAGGGCATTCTGGGAAGCATAGATCTGATGTGAACCTGAGTGGAGCAGCTCCTTTCCCACACTAATAATAAACAGTCTAGTTTTGCTTACAGAAGTATGTGGAGCCATCCCATAAAAGGCAGCTTGGGGCCTCCATCACATTGCCAGGCATACAGCATCCTACCCCAAGCCTTTCACTCAAAGGAAAGGCATAGAGCTACACACAGGAAACTAAGGAAGAACAAGCGGCTGGCTGTTCCTGGGGAGGTGCAGAAAGGCATCTCCTTAGAGTGAACAGCTTGGCTGGGAGAGGGACAGGAGGGGCAGAATTATACTGATTCCTATAAGGTGGCTCTGCACACTGCTCTTGTGGCTTGTGAATTGCCGCTTGGAGGAGGAGGAGTTTGGATTTTATACCCCGCTTTATCACTACTCTAAGGAGTCTCAATCTCCTTTCCCTTCCTCCCCCACAACAAACACTCTGTGAGGTGAGTGAGACTGAGAGACTTCAGAGAAGTGTAACTAGACCAAGGTCACCCAGCAGCTGCATGTGGAGGCGCGGGGAAGCGAACCCAGTTCACCAGATTACAAGTCTACTGCTCTTAACCACTACACCACATTTGTGTTTTGGTTCATCATCATATAGGACACTTCTGTTCCTTTTTGCAGTTGATCTCTTATAGTTAGCATTTCTGTTTTTCAGATGGAATAAAAGCTTTTAGGCTTTTACTTTTCAAACAGTAGCCTCACATGCTATTTAACAAGCCCCTTTGAAACAGGGTGGACTCTTTTTGACAGATCTGTGATACGTTCGGAAGGGGGGGAGTTGGGGAATCTTACAAGTATCCCTCCAGGCTTTAGCAGTGCCAAAAGTTGCTCTTTAGATCCCATTTCCTCTCTCACCAGTATTCTAACCGGCCTATCTTTGTTTGGGCTTACTTACAGAAAATGAAGACTCCTTAATGATGCCAAGGATAGTAAATGTGGTGTCACTGGCTACTGAAGAAAATACAAAGGAAATAGAAATAGTAAATGTGGTGTCACTGGCTACTGAAGAAAATACAAATTTACTCCTGGATTTAAATAAGAAACCTTATGTAACTCTGGATACAGATTCCCAGAAATGCTTACCTTCCATGCAGATAGTATTGCAGGAAACAACTGATTTTCAGTCTGAAGGAAATGCGGAACCGTCTTCCAGAAAACACAGGGATGCTACTGGAACAGCTCAAGTGTTTCTTAGCGAAAAAGAAAACTGTTTCCCACAAATAGTAAATGTATCCAGTATGAAGGGATCCCCAGAATTATTTGCAACAAAACTCTTCATTGAAGAGTTAAGTGGAAATCGGGTTAGGTTAAAAGATATATGCAAGGGAGGTGAGGGACAAAAGTCAAAGGATTCTTCATTTCAGAAGCTACAGATTAATGAACTCAAGGACTCTGGGGTAGAAATGGAACTGCAAAAAGTAGCCTCTGCAATACCTGAACCAGCACTGGATGCAAGTGACTTAATGGGCCTAAAGAATGATGGCACTGATGAAACACTCACCTCACTTCTGAATGAAATTGTATCCCTCAATCGGCAGCTGAATGATGCAGCCCCAGACAGATCAAAACTTCCAAACTCCCCAAGCACTGAGTTTTCTCTGGAAGGTATGGGAAACTGCACGGAATCAGCTGCTGCAGCAGCAGGCTTTCACTTTCAGTTTGGCAAATTGGGTGAGAGCTATAAGGACCTCTGTTTTGTGCAAGAGAGTAGTGGTTCTGTAACTCCACTCCTGCTTCAGTTGGAAGACGATGATCTCACTGATGGTGACAGGAACCTGAGAGATCCTTCATCTGAATCGGGTGTTTTCAATCTAATGCCGGACTCTGAAGTAAAGGACCCAAATTGTAACATTTCAACAACTAGTGGGAGAAGCTGGAAAAATGTACCATGCATGGCAAAAACTACAAATGTGTCTCTTCCAGTTCTGCAGATGAAAACTAATATGGAACCTGGCCACCTTGACACACAGTGGAAGCCCATGCCCAAACTGGCACCCTTTGGACTAAAAAGTGCAAGCTTCCTATTAGATTCAGGAAGGCAAAACACCAGGATGATGCCTTTGTTGGCACCTGTTGGTGCAAACGTGTCATCTGTTGATTTAAAAGCTGCCCATTCAGCAGTCAAGGACAGGTCTATAAAGTAACACCTACATTAGCAACTGTCCTTGCAAAATCAAAATAATACTGCAGCTTTAATTTTAAACATATTTGCAGGTGCATGCCCTATTTTCTCAGAAAACTTCAACACATACATGGATTGAAGGTCATATGGTCCACTTTGAATAGAGGGGTTTGTGTCTAATTTATGAAGCTAGGTGATCTTTGTGAATGGTCTGATTAAGGATACACTAAATTCCTAGTAAAAATCTTTGGGTGAGCCAAAATTAAGTAATGATATAGCTCTATATCATTATAGAGCTATATAATTATAATTAGTTTTGTAAGAAATCAGAATGACTTTGTCACATGTTCTCTTCGGGAAGTGGAACAAAAATTTAACATTTAGTTATAAATTTAAAAATAAATAAAAATCAGTGGGAGTGTCATTTCCCAGCTCGCCCTCAGACTACAAATTTATATGTTCCTCTAAACTTTCATTTGCCAATCCTCCCTTCTTCTATCATTTTTAAAATGTATGCAACCTAGAGAGAGGACTGACTATATCTATTCGTCCCAAACTTCTTTCACAGTTTACTCAAAAGAATGGTTATGCTCTAAAAAGAAGCATGTTTGTATGCATACATAAGTCCTGTCATCTCACTATATAATTATTTATAAGACAAACTAAATCCTGTCAAGTGGGAATTGGGTCCCTATACTACTCCACATTGCCGTGGAGTATTTGCAGATTGTTATTACCTCAACTATATGAGCAGAGCTGATTGCCACCTTCCCAATAAGAGGGCCAGGGGAAGAGATGTGCAATTGGCTCAATTCACAGGATTTAAGTATTCACATGTATGGTGCAGTCACATGAAATAACATGACAAGTTTGGCAGCTTCCACATGCCTGTGGTTGTGTCTGAAGGAGGCCATATTTTTAGGTAACAGTGTACTCTTTGTTCATTGCTTTTGGCTGGTTCCTCCTCCCTCTTGCCAAACTTCTGATACCAATTTAGTTGCAAAACTGCAAACTGTTTTACCCTGCTACAGGTAAATTAAACAGTTTTGATCAGGTTGTTCAACAATAATTGTTATTTGCAAGATGTTTCAAATTCATTTTGTAAGCGACAGCAAAGAATCTATAGAAACTCAGCTTTGAAATGTAAAGTAAAGGTATTTTGTAGTTTTATACAATTCATTCTTGTAGTTTTGCTAATGATTGAAACTTCAAGCCAGGAGGGAGTACTGTAGCAGAGTTAACAATTAGTACTTTTTCTTCCAATCATAAATCATACCAATAAATGTGAATTCCTTTTGATAGCCTACTCCTGAATAGCAAATTCAAAACAAAGAATCTTCTGAAAGAATACCTACCTTGTTTCATGCTACAGTTCCAGTTACATTTTGCTTTTGTGCAATTCAGTTTAATGTAAGGGTCCTTCCCCTCAGAGTCACATCCATCACACTACACATTTAGGGCAGCTTTTGTCTTATCTAGCAAATTTTCTTCTCTTAACTACTCTGCTTAATTTTGAATATAGCTATATAAAACGTTGAAGGTAAGATATGTATTATGTCAGAAGGTCAGCAGTTCGAATCTGCACGACGGGGTGAGCTCCTATTGCTCTGTCTCAGCTTCTGCCAACCTAGCAGTTCGAAAGCATACCAGTGCAAGTAGATAAATGGGTACCACTGTGGTGGGAAAGTAAACGGCGTTTCTGTGTGCTCTAGCTTCCGTCACGGTGTTCTGTTGTGCCAGAAGCAGTTTATTCATGCTGGTCACATTACCTGGAAAGCGGTCTGTGGACAAACGGCAGCTCCCTTGGCCTGAAGCGAGATGGGCACTGCACCCCATAGTCACCTTTGACTGGGCTTAACTGTCCAGGCGTCATTTGCCTTTACCTTATTATGTAAATAGCTCAGTTCTGCTTGCATCAAACACTTAGGTGGGGGGGGCACCCATGTTTTTAGGCCCATCACCATTTTAGCAAGTGCTGTAGGAGCGCACACACTTGAGACAGAGAAACCATGTGCATATCACATACTTCACTTTTTAGAGGGATTTGGGTAAAAGATGGACCTAGTAGAATTTGAGCCTTGCAAAGCTCAGAGCTGGAAAGAGCATCACTTGTCAGCCCTCCTTCAGCTCTTTGTACTTTGGACTGGAGAAAAATAATTACCCTCACCATCTCATGATTAAGGGGCTGTGAGTTGGGGGGCACAGAAGCACCATGGGAAAGACCATTGTGCCCATAGGTGCCTCATTGCACAAAGGGCCCCTTCCACTAGCTATCTTCACAAGCAGGAATGACCAGAGAAACTCCCTTCTCCCTTGTCATTCCTGCTCTACAGGAGCCACATCAAGCTTACCTTATTCTAAGCAGTTTATTGTTCATGGGAAGGTGGCTGTGATGAGCTGAGATTCTTATTCCTTCCATTATCTGTTAGCAATAAAAGCAAAAGGAGCAAGAACTCTGCCAGGCAGTTCCTTCCCTCAGCTGAGGATGAGTGTTATGGTTTTCCCTTCCCATGAGCATGTGGGGGAAGCCACTGCTAGCCTCAAGCCTCAGCTGCCAGTCCAAATGTAAGGACACCTTGCGAAGAACATTCCATTCAGGCAGAGCAGAACTTCATACTACTTAGCATAACATATAGCTTGGGTCTCATTCTGTTGTCTTTACTGTTAAACATTCTGTTTAGATTCCTGATGATTGAAGGTGTGAGACTTCATAAGGGGTTGGTGATAGGCATGTTGCCTGCCTAGTACAAAAGTCGCAGGCATCACATTGCCTAGATACTGTAGGGGAGGAGTTTGCATACATGATATACATTAGCATTAGTGACCATGAGACGTACAGTAAAGAGAGTCCTGGAAGCGAAATGTATGTATTTTAGTAAAACAGTAGTATTTTTATCAACTACTATTGATCCAGTGTACTAACTTAGATGGACACAGTTGCAGGCTCTCTGTGAATGAGTCAGGTGTTCAGATTTTTTTTTAAAAAAATTGGCACCTGAGAACGTTTTGGACTAACCAGTCCTTTATTAAAAAAAGGAACTCTACTTGTACGGCAGTGGAACTACATTGCTAATTCAATTTAAAAAGTACTGAAAGCAACTTTTAAAGTTCTGGGGGTAGACAGTGCTGTAATTGTGAATATGGCTATCTTAAAGTTACTTTAATATGTCAAAGGTGTTTACAATTGAATGAGGGAAAACTGCATAGATATTGAAGGAGATATTGTGTACATTTGAGAGTCACTTAAAAAGGCTTGAAATACTCTTTAAAGTCTTGATTTAGAACTCTAATAGAGCTTAAAAAGTGTACAGCCATGGAATTTCATGAGTTTTAGAAATCACAAAGGTGAGAAGAGAAAGTAAACACCTTGACTAAAAGTTAGTTACACGCTGTTGATGTTTGGATGAATCTAAGCATTAAAATGATTTTTTTTAAAAAAAAATATCTTTATACAGCTAGATTAGTTTAAGGAGAGCAATGTGATACGTTTTAAATCCTGAGGATAGGACAACGTAAAGTGTAAGCCACCTATGGGAAGATTCATATTAACACACATTGTAAACAAGTACATGATCTAGGATAATAAATGTGTGGCAGAGTTTAAAAACCACTGTTACATTCTATACGTTTAATTTGGATGTGCATAAAGTATTCAAAATGGTTTTATTCTGACTACACACAGCTTGAGCCATACAACCTGTGAGGTGAAGATTGACATCTGGCCATCGTCCAGTCATGCCCCAGTGTGGTGTACTCTTGCAGTTGGGCAGCCTCTCAGACAAAGTCACAGACACTGAACTCCCTGCATAGATGAGAAAAACACTGATGTAGGAGAATACTATTTTTAAAGAGAACACATTGTCACATCTGCAACTGCTGAGACAAGAAGCTTTCAAAAGTGTTTTTAGGTCTCTTAGTTGGTACAGTACTGCCTCTCCTATTCACTGTGTTTGTAAGACTTAAGCCAAAAATCCTGACTTGATCCAGGATTTACACTAGTGGTGCACACCTGCAGGCAGCTCTTTTCTTGCTGCTATGCTCCTGTCTTCATTTGAGCACCAAAATAAGACAGGATAAGACTATCTTAGCTTGTTTTGAAGCTAAGGTCTGTAAATAATGGGAAACTTGGTTAGGTGCTGAACCCTTGTTTTGTCACTAACGTAAAGGGAGTGCAGCAGCAGGACAGGAGGCTGCATATGGGTGCATGTCAATCATACATATCATAATTTATTAAACTAGGGGTTTTGGCTTGGTGTGTTACAAACAGCGTATTTCTAAACTGCAGGAAGTTTTCTAAATGGCAACAAGTAATTTATCGTGTACTCCAAATGGCCACAAATAAAAATGCTAGAAGCAGATGAAATGGAAAAGTCTATAATATGCACAATCTTATGCATGTTGTTAAGTTTTACTGTGCTCAAAGGGATTTATTCAAGGATTGCAACTCAAAAACTTTTTTAGATTCAGCATAAAAATGGTAGATTTCCATGATTAGTGTATGTAAACCAGATTCCAAAGTGCCCAAGATTCCAGGATTGGAGGCTTCCTTAAGTTCACAAAATTAATTTGGGAAGCTATAGATGCCAGAAAACTGAACATCCTTACTTGTTCTCATATAACAGCAACGTGATAGATCTCTTGATGAGTGAAACATGAGAATGGAAGGTGGCATGCCTGCTCAGGAAACATTCAACTTGATCCATACCTTCCATTTTTAAACCAGCAAGTGTGCAAAACACAATGCAAATCAGATAATGGATGAATATTGGAGTGCATGTTCAAGATACAATTGTGCGTTTCAGATTCAAAATCTATGTCCTGGACACTTTTTCAAGACAGTTTTGTCATGACCTAGGGATCCAACTCCATCCTCAGGGGAAGATGCCTTGGGTTTAGGTAGTAGCTCAATTAGGAGGATTTGCATTCCCATTTAATTTGCATAATCCACATGCCACCCTCAAACAACACTAATCCTGATGCTTCCTGTGAATTCCAAGTTTAGCCAATACAAGGATAATTAAATAAATTGGGCTCCAGGTCACCCCACTTGGGGACACAGATGATTTATTTTAGTATTTTGGGGTGGGTGAATCAATTGTACTTTTGGTTATTCCTCTTTCCCCACCCAGTACTTCCTCAATGTTTTCAGTTTACAGTGGTACCTCAGGTTAAGTACTTAATTTGTTCCGGAGGTCTGTACTTAACCTGAAACTGTTCTTAACCTGAAGCACGACTTTAGCTAATGGGGACTCCCGCTGCCGCTGCACGATTTCTGTTCTCATCCTGAAGCAAAGTTCTTAACCTGAAGCACTATTTCTGGGTTAGCGGAGTCTGTAACCTGAAGCGTATGTAACCCAAGGTACCACTGTATTTTCATCCATGTTCGTAACATTTTCCTGACCAGAGAACTGCACAAGCAAACCACATGAAAAAAAAATTTTATTTGGTTTGCTTGTGCAGAGGTTTCGGTTTTGTTCTTTTTGCAATTCTGAAGAATCAAGTGTGGATACACCAGATACTCTGAAGCAATCTGAAAAGGGGGTCTAGAGTCATTGGGGGGCCAAACACTCTTCTGCAGATCTTCTAGGACCGTCGCCTGGATCTGACTACACGTTCTTCATACCCATGACCCCTTAGCTATGACACTTAGAATCACAGAATTGTAGGGTTGGGAGGAACCCTGAGAGTCATCTAGTCCACCCCGCTGCAGTGCAGGAATCTCAGCTATAGAAAGCACCCATGACAGATGGTTATCCAACCTTCTGCAAAAAACCTCCAAGGAAGGATAGTCCACACCTCCCAAGGGAGACTGTTTCACTGTCAAACAGCTCTTACTGTCATCTTCCTGATGTTTAGTTGGAATTTCCTTTCTTATAACTTGAAGCCATTGGTTTAAGTCCTACCCTACAAAGCAGGAGAAAACAAGTTTGTTTCCTCTTCCATGTGACAGCCTTTGAGATGAAGATGGCTACCTCCTCTCAGTATCCTCTTCTCCAGGCTTAACATATCCAGCTCCTTCAACTCTTCCTTATGAGGCTTGGTTCCTAGTCCCTTGATCATTTTGGTTGCCCTACATTGGGTGGGGGTCACACCTCCCCAAATTAAGGCCCTCTCCTAGATGGCCATGCTAAGGCTAGTCAGGAGCACATTCTATCAATTTTGGCAGATATACCAGGTTCCTGGAAAGAGGTCTAAAATATTGACTACTGCACTGTGCTCTATTTGGGGCTGCTCTTGATGGCAGCTTAGAAAATTAAATTGGCCTAGAATGAAGCAACCGGGTTAGTATTTGGTATCTGTATTTTTATTTATGATTAAATTTGCCTTTTCATGTTATTACGCCCCAGGCAACTGATGACAGTAAAACAAAAACAAAAAAGCAAGCAATAATAAAATCATCACACCATTAAAAAAAACTAGGGAAGATTTATTTTAAATAAATAAATAGTGCAAGGAACATGTAATGCCTGTTCTCTTTAACATACATTGTTTCCTGGCTAATATTTGGGTGCCCTTTATGCTCTGAGCCGAAGCAGATAACGGGATTGCAAAGAGGTTTTCCTTTCTGGATATCGAAGAACTGGAACATTATGGACAATACAGCTCGTTCAAGTCCGTGGGTGCTGCAACCCGCCCTGAGGCGTTATCGTGAAGGGCGGGTAAGAAACGGAATAAATAAATAAATAAAAAGGAAGGAAGGACGGAAGGCAGCATGTGAACCGGTTCGGGGAGATCCTTCAGAGATGCAGGACTTGCGTGGGCACGACGAGGCGCCCTTCATTCAGAGCACGAGCGCCTTGGCGGGCGGGCAAGGGAAATCCTCGCGTGGCTTTCACGCGCCACGAACAAAGAGCAGCCCTGCCTTAGCGAGAGGAGCAGGAAGCGCGCAGCCAGAAATGCGGGGCGGTTCGGCCTCAGCTCGGCGTCTCTCCTCAGATTCTTCCGAGGGAGCCCGACACGCGCGCCTTCCCACGGCGACCCGTGAGAGGCTGGCACAAGGCCCGAGGGCGCCCGCCATAGTGCCAACCCTCTGCTGGAGCGGAGGGCAGGAAGGGCCGAGCTCTTCGTCGTGAGCAGCGGCGGGCCGGGTACGCTGTGCTCCCAAGAGCCTCGAGTGAACGTCCGGGGTGGGGGGGGCAGGGCTCCAGGGAGGGCCTCGGAAGCACGAGCAGCGTAAAACAACCGACCTCCGCTCGTCAGGGAGCGTGTGCGTTTTTGGGACGACAGTTGAGGGGGAGGAGTGGGGAAAAAGGCGCGGAAGTTCATTCACGTAGCCGCGAGCTACCTCAGGAGCAGCTTCACCGGGCAAGCGCGAAAGGGAACAGGACGGAAGGGAGGGGGCAGAGGCGAGCCGCGGGCACGTGACAGCCTGCAGGCGAGGAGGAGGAGGAGGTGCGCGGGCCCGCACGGCGCGTGCGCCGCTCGAGGCGCGCCGGCGACGTCACATGGGTGCGTGCGCACGGTCGGGTAACACGATTTTTGACTGTGAACATAGAAGGAGGAGGAGGGGTGAGGGGTTTCTACCCGCCCTGCTCACAATCTCACGGTAACTGGCGGGGAAGGGGAACGCCTCGCTCTTATTTACCCGCGCGCTCGCTCGCGCGCGTGCCCCAGAAGTGACTCGAGCGCAGTTTTCCGCGTGTCCCGCACACCACCTGCCAGCTGAGAAAATCGACACCCCTTCGCGGGAGGCCGTGAGCGAGTGAGCGGGCGGGATCGAAGCCCAGGAGGAGGAGGAGGAGGAGGAGGGGCGGGAACTCTGAGGCGGCGCGCGCGCGCGGCTCCTCGCGTGTCAGGGAGGCTCCTCGGCGCCACGCGGGGGCTGGGAGTTCGAGGCGCCTCCGCGTGCCGTGTGAAGCTGCGCTGCGGCTGCGCTGTTCCCGGGTAAGCGGCTGCGCCGAGGCAGAAGGCGAGGGCGAGGCGGATCCCGGGCGGCTTCGGGATAGGAGGCTTCGGCTCGCTGGGGGCCGGTGGGGCGCTGCGCCCCTTGCTCTTCGGGTCGGGCACGTTCATGCCGAGCTCCCGAGTAGGCCGCCCAGTTTGAGAAGCTTCGGGGCCTTTTTGACTTTCGCTCCGCTCGCTGCCGCCGCCGCCGCCGTTTTCCCTCTCTTTCTCTTTCCTCCCCCGCCCCTCGCACTCGGCAGCGTTATGGCGGTTTCGCCGTCCATGTTGGTAGCATATGTTCCTTCGGCTGGCGGCTTGCGAAGCTGCGCTTAGGGCAGAGTAGGGAAGCGGAGACGGGGCTTCGCCTCGGAGGGCGATCCTGACGGGATCCCTGCGGGTCGCTTCCTACGGGAGCACGTGACTGCCCGGGAGCTTTCAGGTTGAAATGTCAACAAACACGGGCAAGGACCTCGATTGCGCTTTCGCACAGACTTGAAGATGTTGGCGAGTCCTGTGCAAACCTCTGTAACGCCGCAGCCCTTTACTAGGAAGTAAGTAACGCTTACTTCCAGGTCAATCGCGTTTGGGTTCATTTTGACAGGTGTGAAATGTTGACATGGAAGTTATATTCTGGCTCATACGTCATTTCTGAAAGGCAAAACATTCTCCAGTTCTCCCCACTCCCCGCCATTCATTATTGCTTAATGGAGGAGAGGAAAGATTCAAAGTGTGGATGTTGTTGTTATGATTTATCGGCAAGCCAGTATTAATCCCCGACAACCCCAGTGTAGGAAGTAAAAATATGAATAAATTTTAGCAACGTTGTTTAAGCCTTGTGACTGTGTTTGCAAACTCCATTACAGTGGTTGGTTATGTGTTGTGTGTGCACAGCGCTTGACATGCTGTATTTTAAGCTAATTTTACAAATGTTTATAAAATAAAGTCAATACATTTTTGTATAGATCTAATGTACAGTCTCCCACCCCAACATTTTAGAATTTATTAATACAACATTTTTATCCCACCTTTCTTTTAAGGCACTCAAGGTGGTGTACATTATTTCACCTCCATGTTACTCTCACAACAACCCTATGAGGCGGGTTAGGCTGAGACGTAGTGACTGGCCCAAGGTCACCCAGTGAGCTTCATGGTTGAGTAGGGATTTGAACACCAGTTTTCCAGCTTGGAAACAATATAACAAGTACTTTAGGGTTGGTGGATTCTGCAGTTGTGTGTGACAGAGCTCTGATAGTGGCAGTAAATACAGCCCAGAGCCATCTTTCTCTGGAATACAATCGGTTGAGTTGAATGGATTTGTTCTAGAGTAAATATTTTGTTTTATATTAGTGTTGATGTACTAACAAATGGAAAATTGCTACACTATTACATTTCGTGTACTAAGTAGATCATTGATACTTTCCAAGCTAACTCAGAATAATTCCTTAGAATGTATGTTACATTGTTCTTTATGCCTTAATCTTTAAAACAAATTTAAGGTTGTGATCAGTAACTTGTTCCTTAAGGTTAATTTCATGCATTTAGAATACCAGTTATGTGATTTAATAGTAATGCTGCTCTAAAGTTCTACAGTGCCAGAGTAAAAATCATATTTTGTGGTACAATTCAGGTGAAATGGTTGGCTAGGTTATACACACATTTTCAGATGCAATTGCTGCTAATGTTTAGGTAGCAGCACAACCCTGTTATGTTATCCCATCTTTCCTCAAAGAACTCATGCTTTTCTTCTGCTGCTTTGGAGCATCCCTGGTGTAATTTTTGCTGTGCTGGGGGTTGAGTAGGAAAAGAAGGGAAAGCCCAGTTTGTACAAGCAAAAGTCTGTTGCACAAGTAGGACACCACAGTTAGACATCAGCCACTATTTTTGCTTCTGTGGTTACGTCTAAATATTTTTTGTTATTGTGTTGTTTGTTGACCTTTGAATTAATTGCCCCATAATTTGAAATGAAAATCTCAGTTAAAATTTTTACCTCTGCCATGAATCTACATTTTCCAAGTGGCGAAATTTTGTCGAAATCATTGTGGAAGCTGACAGTAGCAATGTATTGTTTTACGTGTAATGACTGTCACTGTGATAACTTCTGAGGGGATCATTTATCATGTATAATGTATTGCTCACATTACATGGATGTTACATATTTCATTGACCTCCCCCTCCAGAATGAAGAACATGAAGAATAATTTGCCTGTATTGTGAAATCTTTGGAGAAATTTCAGTCCATAATGGAGAATCGGCCAGTTGTGTTGGGGAACCAGGATGGTGGAACACCACCCAATGCAGCACCTGCTCTTTATGTTCTTGTGAAACAGCCGCAGATCACTGGAAAAGCTGACCAAGGAGACTTAGTTTCAAATCAAGAGGACAATGGCCTTGCTAGCAGTATTGCAACACCTGTAAAATCGAAAGTGAAGACCTGCCTTCCGGCAGATTGCACCTCAGGAAGCATTACTGTTACCTTAGACAACAACAATATGTGGAATGAGTTCTACTATCGCGGCACAGAAATGATTTTGACTAAGCAGGGAAGGCGGATGTTTCCATACTGTCGATACTGGATAACAGGCTTAGACTCCAAGCTGAAGTATATCTTGGTTGTGGATATTTCTCCTGTTGACAACTTACGCTATAAATGGAATGGCCATAGTTGGGAGCCCAGTGGGAAAGCAGAACCCCATGTCCTGGGAAGAGTATTCATTCACCCCGAATCACCTTCTACTGGCCGTTACTGGATGCACCAACCAGTCTCTTTCTACAAGCTCAAACTTACTAACAATACCTTGGACCAGGAAGGGCATATCATTCTGCACTCTATGCACCGCTATCTACCTCGGCTACACTTGGTGCCTGCTGACAAAGCCACAGAAGTTATTCAGCTAAATGGTCCTGATGTCCATACCTTCATTTTTCCACAGACAGAGTTCTTTGCTGTGACTGCCTATCAAAACATACAAATTACACAACTGAAAATAGACTACAACCCCTTTGCTAAAGGGTTCAGGGATGATGGCCTGAGCAGTAGATTTCAGCGTGATGTGAAGCAAAATGGTAGCTCAGACCAGGAAGGAGGTAGCGTTAATAGTTCTCCAAGCCATCACAGACATCTCACTGAAAGTGAAATTTTTGATCCAGAGCAGAGGGATTTAGAGACATCACTTAGTGCAATGTGTAACACAGATTTGGATAGAGAATCTATCAGTCCATATCATGACTTTCTGGGTTTTATGGAAACAGATACGTGTGATAGTCCGATATTAAAACAAGAAGCACCTGAAAGGTAGGCTCCAAGTTTCTTTTTAAAATGTGATCAATATTTGGATAAATGATCTGCTCCTAACCATGCTGGGTACAAATTATACTTTTGATAAAAATGTTTTTATAGATCTCTGCCTATAGTTAGAAAAGGAAGGCAAATCAAGTTTTGCAGAATAAGCAGCATTCTGCAGCAGTACAGTAGGCAATATTAAGCCACAATGAACATTTCTTAATTTGTTCCTTTGTACTGCTTATGCACTTATTCCTACATGTGGTAGGAGGAGTTCCCTTATATTTTGGAAATGTTCAAGTGTGTGATCCATATGAATATTTTCCTGTACACTCATCAGTTAAACAATGTATTTATATTGACCTTATATTGAGGTTATTTTATGGAGAAATCCCTTCAAGCACCCAAAGCAGATCTGAAAAAAATATATATGCCATTGCACTCTCTGGAGGAAGAACTGTGCATAAGCAAACACATTGAAGTTTTTTGTAGATATTCCTGGATATTACTTGACTTAAACAACCTTCTTGCTTTTTTTTTATGAAGTATTGACCTGACAGTGTCAAATGTTTTGCCCTCTGCCCCTGAGCTTGTTGAGTAACAGTCTTTCTAAATGAGTAGAATATAAGGCTGGGATAATTTTTAGCCAATCAAAGGCTGCATTCTTTTGCTTACTTAGGAGTAAATCTTGGAACA